TCTCTTGTTCCCTCCTCCACTGCTCTGTTTTTAGGAGAGGTGTACGACAAAGACGTCTCTTTTACTTTAAGGAAAGACAACAAAATATATAAAAAATGTATGTTATACTTCATTAAACTTCATTAAATGTTAATTACATATGACCTATGTTTTTATTTTATTTTATAAGAATTTTTCTTAAAATGATTGCCCTTATTTTCTGTCAGTTCCCTTACATTATTGGTCAAATGTCTAACAGTGGAAAAAGTCTTACACACATACAGGATGTGAAGGCTCACTCTGACCTCCAAAAACACTTTCACTCTAGTGGTTCTCAACTGATTTTCCTTTAGATGTTATGCCACAGATCAAGCGGTGACCCAATAGTACCTAAAAAAGATTATTAGAGCACATTTTACAAGATAATGCTATTTCTCTGTTTTGTTTGTTTTATTTTTAACTTACAGTGTTTCTTGCCATTTCCTTAATAGTTTTGTCAAATTTACTAGTTTAAATAGTTTTTTTTTTCAATGTACAAAGTAAACAAAAAGTCAGTCACAACTAATTAATATTAACATTAGCTAATGGAAACATTATGTAAAACTATTAACATAATGAGCTCAGTAGGAAATCTGAACATATCTTTTGTATTTTGTAAACAAATCAAACAATAACAAATGTTTTTTTTTCTTCTCTTTTTAAAAAGCATTTTTATACTATACAAGGATATCTACGGCTATCGAAACTGATCTACGATTCAAGTTTACTGCAGACCGCTCATGCGGCTGTGTCCTCGTATAAGCATGCATGAATGCATCAATGTGCTGCTGTCTGGCTAAAATCATTCACTGGTCACATTTTACAATAAGGTTTCATTAGTTAATGTATTTACCAACATTAAGTAATTAATAGCGATACTTGTACGCAATTTATTAATCATAGTTTAACATTTACTAATGCCTTATTAACAAAGAACAACTGTATTTTCATTAACTAGCATTTATTATTCATTATTTTCTCAAATTGTACTCCTTTATTAATTAACTAAAGTTTTTAAGCCTTAAATCCTAAATTATTACCTGTTTACAAGACTAAATCACATAGATTGTATAACTATTTTGAAGTAATCCACTATTTCTCTTGTGAGTAACTTTAAGGTAAAAAGGTTACAGCTACAGCAGCGCTATAACTTCATTCTAAACATAAAGCAAAGTCCATTGCATTGAGAAATGCCGAACTTTGGATTTTGAAAGCATTGTCTGCCATAAAATTCATTATTTAAACTTGATCAAACATTGTGTGCTTTTGGCATGAGTTTATGAGATAGTGTTTATAATAAAACTGCCAGCATCTTGAGAAAATTAGCACTCAAATAGTTGTCCTTTGAGTCAAACAACTATATGATAACTGCAATTCTATTTGCGTCGTTTCAACAGTCTGAATCTTATGTATTTTTAAGACAACAAACATGTTTTGCGCAATGCATGCACGGGATAAGACTAATAAAAACATGCTACTTATGAGAATTCATCTTAGTAATGATTGTTGAAAAAATGAATAAACTTTAAGAAAAAAAACATCCAGAAAAAGCAGACTTTAAGTGGCCCAAATTGCATTTTATTGCATATCATATATGTATGAAATGAAAATAAGCATATATGAACATCACATATAGTTAGTGGATAAAATAATTTTGCACAGCAAAATATATATGAAACAAACAAATAATAATAATAATAATAATTAACATAGTTTTAAGAATTTATTGATGAACGGTATGTCCTGAATTTATACATGCAGGGTATCAATCCCTGACCATAAAACAATGTCCAGACATTTTAATATTGATTACTACATTATTGCCATGTAAATAATGATTTTATTAACAAGTATGAAAGAAAGAAAGAGAGAGAGAAAGAATCGAGTCCTGCTTGACAATATATATAAATCTAAATAAGATTAAGTCCTTTAGTTTTAAGCAAAGCCATGACGGGTGCCTTTTAAATTAGCGTTCTAGATAGATTCCAATATGTGATATATAATTTGCTACAAGCTACATTTAGTGCAACTCATTCCAGATAGGTCAGATTTCATATCAGACTATGTTTTTCTTCTTCTTTTGAATGCATGATTTTCCAGGTTGACTTGAAATTCTACTTTAATACTTTGGTTTTAAAATGCAGTAAATGGCAGGCTACAACAGGAACTACAACTGTCAAACTGCTGTTTTCATTGCAAGTACATGCTCCAAAAAGCTCAAGTTACACATGATAAAAATCCAGCTGTATGCAAACTTGGAGCCTTCCCAAACTTTTAACAAACTGAACATCTAAACTCTAAGTCACCCCTTCTTCTCTGTGTCAACCTGTGGCATGGGCTACCTTTGACTGTTTTATATGATAAAAAAAAAGTAGTTCATTCCAGAGTTATCAAAATGCAAAGGTTTGACATTAAATACACAAACCGCTTTTAGCAACAACACTGTTCAAGTCCCAGAGGGAGAATTCCTTTTAGAAACCAGGTCCTTGTTCTCTCCCTGCTTCCAGTTGGCTCTCAACAGAGAATTAACTGTATGGAAAGTATATGGATCAACTTTTTCATGAGGAGGATGATGACATGATGCTCCTTTCACTTTTTTAGTCCGTATTCCAAAAAAGTGATGGGGAAATTAAAGAAATGTATGAATGCCATGCTGAGCAGAAGTTCTTTTCCCAAGTAGAAGTTCATTTTTAAGCGCATAAAAAATGAAAGGGGAATAAAGAAAGACAAAAAAAAAGACCATACATGTCCAGCATGCAGGCACTTCAACGATATGTCTCTTTATATAACAACAATGTCTTTAGATTCTCATAAAAAGTCACAAAACAGCAAGCAGAATGAGATGATAATGGGGCAAAATCCATCGACTTTGGTAAAAGAGCAAAAATATATGTATAAAAAATAAAAATAGCAAACTTTGTCATTTGGCAAAAACAAAAAAAAAACAAAAAATGCGAATGAAGTTCAATATCATGAGTGTATGTGCATACACGTCAGAATATTAACTCATTTAGAGAATAATACTAATTTTTATAAAGAAAAAAATGTTTGGTTGCACAACAAGCCCCCCAAACTCAGCAAGAACTGAACTCAGTTCTTTATAAAAGCGATAAAAAAGTCGTCAGATTTGATCTAACAACCCCCCAAAGCAGAAAAAAAAGTTTTGAAAACTTTACTTGTTTTCTTTTTATGCTTTTTTTATGGAACTCACATGAAAAACTCCGGGGACGAGGGGTTGTTGTCGCTGCTCGATGAGTTTTCTCGGAAGCCGCTGTTCACCAGCTTCTCGTACTTTTCTTTGTACGCGTCTCTCTCGCGCACCAGTCTGGAGATCTCTTGTTTGAGGTGGTCCACCTGCTGAATGAGCTGGGTCTTCTCGCCCTCCAGTATGTGCCTCTGCTGGACCCTCTTGTAGCGACACGACTGGGCATAGCCTCTGTTTTTGAGGGTTCTTCTCTTCTGTTTGAGCCGGATCACCTCCTCTTTGCTGACGCCGCGCAGCTGCCGGTTGAGCTCCCGCACGGACATGGTAACGAGCTGATCGTCCGAGAAGCGATCGTCCAGGTGGCTGTGCTGGTGATGGGCGACAGGGGAGTTGGTGCTGGACGGGACGCCGGGAGTTTGGTGCTGCTGGTGGTGGCCGTGGTGGTGATGGTGGTGGTGGTGATGAGGTGCCCCGTTCTGCGCTGCAGCGGCGGCAATGACTGCGGAGACCACCGCGGCGGCGGATCCCATCTCCTCCCCGGCCATGGCGCCTCCCGTCCCGGCCGTGTTACTAAACTGCTGCCCTCTAGCATAGCCGTCGTAGCTCTGGAGCTGGTGTGTGCTGTTGATCAGCGCTTCAACTGCGTCCTCGGGACTGAAGCCCAACGCCTCCGGGTTGAGCTGCTGCTGATAACCGGTCATCCAGTAGAAATCCTCCAAGTGCGCCTTCTGCTCGTTCCCGGAGCCAGGGCTGGGCGCTGAAAAGCTTGGGGAAGGGGGAACCGAGCTGCAGGGCGTGCTCATCGGGGTGGAAGACAGGGAGCCCCCGGCGATCAGGCGGCTGCACTGGCTGATGCTGCGATCGGGCTCCAGTGGCTCTTTCTTCACCTCAAACTTCATCAGATCGAAGTCATTAACATATTCCATGGCCAGGGGACTGGTGGGCAGGTCGGAGCTGCTCAGTGCCAGCTCTGATGCCATCCTCTTGCTGCTGACCGTCCTCCAGAGCGGGTGAAGAGGAGCTGTCAAAGCGGGCTGGGTCGGGAGAGAGTGAGCCAGCTTGATGATGTTTAAAATGCTTTACTCTAAGCAGGAAAATAAAAAAAATACAAAAAAACAGACAAGAGGCTGCACGGGAGTTTTCAGTGCGCTCCTAAACTCCAGATTATCCGTGGCACAGTCTATTGCACAGATGCATCGGATCTCTTTCTCCTCTTTTTACATGTGGATTTCGGCGGCCTTGTATTTCAAACATTTAACACTTTGGTGACTCCTCGAGTGCAGACATCATCGTGGTCAAACGGGTAAGTGTAACGTGAGAGATGTGCGCTAGATGCTGCTGACACAGATCGAGCTCAGAGTGTTTTTAAACTCGACACACTACAGTACAGTTTAAAAGCAATGCTGAGTTTTATAGCTGACGTGACGTCAGGTTCGGAACGAGCCAATGGGGTAGCTGGATCTCAGCTCGTTAACATATGGGTTCGGAAACCAAAACTTTTTCTCGTCAGCTGACTGTCATTTTGGATATGCAGGAGCAAAGAGTCGAATAGGTTTCGAACATTTAACTCTTTAGCTGGCTACTACCTTTTGCAAAAAGTGTATAACTTGCTTTAGTAACACGAGACAATAAGCTTAAATTTAAATAATATTATTAAGTAGATCACTTTATTTTCTTTTTGACAGTTTGCTTTTCTACTACTATTATATTCTGTAAAACCCATTAATGTTTAAATTATTTGAAACAATGTTGCACATACGTAGTCACACGTAGAATAATTCTTTTTAACATAATGGTTGTTATATAATTATGAAAATAATTATGTGGGCTACTGTATGAAATGTTTTTTTATAAGCATTATCAAATAAAAACTTATATTTTATAGAGCGTTATGATTGTCATTTTAAATCTCATTAATAAAAATATGTTAATAATTATCAAAATTATTAATCTCTTTAGTTAGATAAAGTACGCACCTCATAAAACTCAACAGTGCCACCTTTTGGATCTAAATAGAATTGAGTAGCGAGCACGCACGTGTGTGTGTAACCAGATTTCTGTCAGGGTTAAGGTGAGGGGTAACACTTTACAATAAGGTTCATTAGTTAATGCATTTACTAACATGAACTAATCATGAACAACACATGTACAGCATTTATTAATCATAATTGAACATTTACTAATGCATTATTAACATCCAAGTCCATGCTTGTTAACATTAGTTAATGCAGCATAAGTTAACATGAACTAACAGTGAATTACTGTATTTTCATTAACTAACGTTAACTAACATGAACAAATACAGTAGTAAACGTATTGTTCATTGTTTGTTCATCTTCGTAAATGCATTAATTAACATTAACTAATGAACCTTATTGTAAAGTGACCAGGTGAGGACCTAATATATAGAATTAATATTATGACTGTGTGATTTTCCCCGTTTCTATTTATATGATAAAGTGGGATAATGATAATATAGTTTTAGACAGTGTAAGTTTGTGTTTTCACTAACGTGAACAAAAATGAACAATACATAAATTACATATTTATTATATTATATTCATACTTATTAAAATCTAAATTCATGCATGTCAACATTAGTTAATGCAGGGTGAGTTAGCATGAACTAATAGTGAACAACTTTATGGTAACTAGCATTAACAACACATTCTTAAATGTTGAACTATGATTAATAAATGTTGTATGCATTTTTTATTATTATTACCTCATGTTAGTAAATACATTAACTAACACTAATTAATGAAACCTTATTTAAAAGCGTAATAGTCTATTTTTGTGACAAAATAAATTCATGTACAATAAAACATGAAATGAACGAACGAATGAATGAATGAATGAATGAATTAATTAATTAATTAATGGATGAATGAATTAACTTTGACTGAATTATTCATGCTAAATGTCAGGTTGTGTAAAAAAAAAAAAAAAAAAAAGTATTTCACTAAAAGTAACAGCAACATGCTTTTTTAAATCAAAACTGCACTCTTTTCACTCTAAGACCCGATCTACATTAAGCTGTAGTTCAGTGATCAACCAAATGATTCAAGCATAGATGAAGAGAACAGCTATAAAACTTGTTTATCAGTTCTCTGAGATCTGCCTCATCTAGTCATACATTAAACTACAATTCTGCTCGTTGCTCTTTAGTGGAGGTCAGGGGTCGATTACTGCAGTATTTCTTACAGATTTTTCTCTCTCCCTTTCATTCATTGAGTTTCAAGGAACATGGCATTTGAATAAAGTACCTTTTTTTTCTTTGCATAATACCTGTCTGATTAATTAATGATCCTGTCTCGATCTTCAATTTCATGATTCTTAAGTTCCCGTTTTTCCTGAATTTCAATTAAAAATCAGTAGAAGGGTAATGGAAAGAAATTAAAGTCCATGAGAGTGTGTTCATGCAATGATGAGTTACCCATTTAGGAAAAAAAAGTCTTGTGTTAGGCTTGACACTGCCCCAAACATTTCATACCCCACACAAGAGCCTATAATCATTTACTCAGTATCTTTTCTGGCAAAGTCTATAATCTCATGCTTGGGATCCTCTGTATTTTTAGAGTCTGGACTGAGACCAGTGTAATGGTCTCTCTGACTGCTGGACTCGAATGATTACATCAATAGCTGTTACTGTACAGTATGTGTGCTGTATTTTCATGAACTTAACACTACATTTGCAAATTAAATCCTCTGACGAAAAAAAAAATCACCTTAGTGTATAAAATGTGAACTTAGAATGGTTTTGCAGCTATTATTTTCTTTAAAATGAATTAAATAAAACACTATTACTGTATAAACGATAAAAAATCCCAAGTAATACATAAATTGTGAGTACTTATTAAAAGGATTATTGTAATATTTAACTGAAATTGTTCCTCATTTCCACCCAGAACTATACATATTTTGCTTGAATTAGTTTCATAACTTTAACATTTTGTTTCCACAGAATTATTAAATTATTTGCCTGTCCACAGTTAAAAACAAATATTTTGCACATCACTGCACAATTACACCTAGTAGGAATAAATGTAATGTTCAGTACAAAACTAAGTAGAGCAGGGTTTTAGTCCGATGAGGTTTTAATTCGGGTTGTATGACTCACAGTGGCCTCTCAGAACTCGAAACTGCTACAAACCTCTTATGTGAACTGAGAATATATTTCTCAGAGAATAGGTATATGCAGCTTTTTTACTCTTTTTTCTTCAGTCAGTCACTATCTCCAATCATTAATAAACAAGATTTGAATACGTGATTTTAATTTTAAAATTAAGAGAGATACTAAAAAGTGTATACTAAGTTGCATTCTGCAATTGAAAAAAAAAAAAAGTCACGCTTTATTTGAAAGTGTTGTTGTTACAATGTAACTATTCAATGAACTACTGAGTAACAATGTTTATTATATGGTGAGGGTAAGAATTTGGGTTAGTTTTAGTGTTAGTTGCATATAATTATGTGTAAATAATTGTAATTACTTTATTGAGTACATTGAACATGTGCAACACCTTAAATAATCCATTCCTTTATCTGAATTTTTTATGCATAAAACATTAAAAGAACAGAAAATAACATAATTGAATTATTTCATAACCTCAAAGGATTTATTTCAAATGCTGAGTTGGTTGTGCTGAATTTACATATGGATATTTCTTCTTCCACTTTTAACCACACAAACACCCACACTGAGGGCTTACCCCACAGCTCGACGACAGTTCCAACAAAATGCCTCAGCAAATTACTGTAATCTTGATTCTGTCAAAGCACATCGGTGAGGAGAGGATATGAGGATATGACATGACCTGAAAGTAACTTCATTTGCAGTTTAACAAAAACCCAGTTGATCAAAGTCCTGATTCTTCATTACTTTAAAACAGGACACCAATGATATTTGAGATTTTGCAGAAATGTTTCTGTACAAAATGAAGGCATATGCTGACACCTTTAATCAAAGTGTCTTATAGCTAAAAGTCATAGTTTACAATGTATTGAATGTCAAAACTGACTGGAAATATGTATTAACATATTATAAACAAGTCATGTTGCATTACAGATTCGTCTGAAGCTCGGTGGTATCTTTATTTGAGGAACATAGAAGATTGAAACTTTGAAAGATTGAATTTTATTTACCATGCACAAACCCAGTCATAAGTGCACATACAGTTGGAGGCAGTAATATTTAGGAGCTTAACTAGGTTAATTAAGCAAGTTAGGATAACTAGTCAAGTTATTGTATAAAAATGGTTTGTTCTATAGAATAATTCAAAAAACATATATATATATATTGCTTAAAGGGGCTAATAATTTTAACCTTAAATTGTTAAAAAAAAAAAAAACTGCTTTTATTCTAGCCAAAATAAAACAAATACATTTTTTATCCAGAAGAAAAAATATTATTGAAAAAACTGAAAGTTTCCATGCTCTGTTAAACATTATTTGGGAAATATTTATAATAATTTATAATTCTGACTTCTACTGAATCATATGCAAATCTGGAATATCTAAATATTGAGAAAATTTCCTTTAAAAATGACTGAATTAATTTCTTAGCAATGCATACTAATAATAAAAATAACATGTTTTTGATTTATTTACTGCTGGGAAAAAAGTAAAAGAAAGCATTCATGAAACACAATAAATATTTATTAATATTAAATGTTTTGAGATGAAAAAATATATATAAATCTGTGATTCTAACTCTAAAAAAAAAAAAAAAAAAAAACATATACCAAAAATATATCTGTGTGCATATTAAGGTTGGTTTTGTGCTTCAGGGTCACAAATGTTGCCAGCCCCATTCAAAAAGTAAACCAGAACATGCTCATGACAATATTGATCACATTATACACAGCCAAATATATACACACTATATGCAAATATACACAACCTGATGTAATACTTCTCTAGAATATATTATGTTAATGTTACAGCAGCTGACTGTGATTGATTTACATTTTGCATTTCTCATGCAGATAAATCTGTTGGTTTTGTAAGACTTGGAATATTTGTTCTGTCATTATTGAATAAACCTATGATTGCAGTTGTACTTCCCTGTTATATACTGTGTTTATTGTTTTATATTGACAAATGATTGTTTGTATAGGTTTAAATATATGAATATAGATTATACACAGTGTTTAAAATTATTTATATAAAATTATTAATATTGCTATTTCCATAGAATTAAATTAATTATTTCATAAAGCCTCATTGTTGATACGAAATGTTAGTCATTGAAAATAATACAGTACAGTTCCAAAAATGGGTAAGTGACTAAGTATCAAATTGTGATGAGTTGGAATTAACTTGGTTTATCAGAAGGCTAGATTTAGACAAAGCAAAATTACACAATATCTCTCAATCCAAAGACAGTTAATATAACTGCAGTTCATATACAGTGGGGTCACAATATAACGCAGGTCAGACTTAAACCTGGGTTTCCTCTGAGCACAATTCCCCTATGTACAATGAGCATGTGCACTGCATCATTTATTTTACACAGATAAATGATTTAGAGTATCCTGACTGGCTGCTTCACTGGGCACTGCTCACCCATACAGTACCATTCCCTGGTGTACATGGAAGAACAGTGTTGTAGTCAAGACCAGCTCGCTTTGTATATGAATAGGACTGAGCAGGTCCTAACCAAATGCTCCACGACAAGAATTAGGCCCTAAAAATATGGCCTTGGATCAGACTCTAACCCAAGCTTCCAATTCAGCAAGAGGCTCCTCCAAATGTGTGATGGGGTTAATGACCAGTCAT